GCCTAAAGGTGTTCGAGAGGCGCCAAGACCGCGCCAGGTATGCAAATTGCGCATCCCCCGAAGAACGTCCTCAACCTCGTCACAAAATTCGCGCGCCACATTCAAACTGTACACACACTGTTTTTTAAAAGGCATTGATCATTGCCATTATTGGCAATGAAAACGCCCTCATTGCCACTGGGTTGGCAATGAAGCGCCTTTTTGGCAATGAACAGCGTAATGGCAATAAGACAAAAATAAGACCTTTCCAGCGGCAATGAACCGATCATTGCCAATCCAACGGCAGTTTTTATTGCCAGCCCAATGGCAATGTTCTGAAAGTAACTTAAAATTAATTCACTTTTTCATTGTTTGCCTCATTTTGGCATTACATTATTGCCGACCTTTTGGCATTGAACGATCATAGCGGACTTTTTGGCAGTGAACCGTCACTGCCGACATATTGGCAGTGAACCTTCACTGCCGACATTTCGGCAATGAACCGTCAATGCCGGCACTTTGGTAATGAACGTTCAATGCCACAATATGACAATGACTGAATAGCCGAAAACTTAGAAAAAGTTCACAAACTGACATCCACTCATTGCCAAAATTGGCAATGAATATTGCCTTTGTACTGGCAATGAACCATCATTGCCGCTGGAAAGGTCTTACTTTTGTCTTATTGCCATTGCATGATCATTGCCACAAAAGGTAGTACTTTCATTGCCATTGGAGGGACAGTGCAGTGTAATCAAAAGTTTGATACATGATATGGGCATGACGGAAAGCAGCCCTGTGAAACGTGATTTACCATAACAATTTTGCGCGCCCAAGTATTTCTATCACTCAGCTCAAATTGTTTCGCCATCTAATAATGACATTCTCTCGACGTCCCCTCTCCGCTTCTCTCTCTCTCTCTCTCTCTCTCTCTCTCTCTCTCTCTCTCTCTCTCCCCCTCTCTCTCTCCTTAACGCGACGAAGCCCAGAACATACGAGGGGGTTGGGGAGGGGAGGAGGTGGAGGGTTCGCAATTTGGCTGCAGGCGCGACGCAGCGTGGCGTGGCTAAGCGGAGCGGCATATCCTGTTGGCAGCAAAGTTTGCAGCATTGAGATATCGAGTCGAAGCCACACGCTACACAAAGTGAACCGAGTCGAGGTGAACCGCCCTGACGGGACCACCACCCCCAACCTCCCCTGTCGAACCAGCTGGCGGGGCAGAGGGGAAAGGGGGGGGGGGCAGCCCCGGGGCACCTCGCGCGCGCCGCAGCCATCGGAAAAACTTTGGCTGGTCTCGCGCGCGCTCGGGGAAACATAATGGCAACCAAGTGACTTATTCCAGCCGAGAAAGGACCAAGTCGGCCGCTCGTGCAAGTGGGCCCGGCCCGGGGAGGTGGGGCGGGGCCCGGCGAGCGCGCCTGCCATGGGGAGGGTAGGCAACCCGGTGCACGCCGGCGCACGAGCGCGGGCTACAGCGCAGGCTGACCCGGGTGCGCCCGAGGGTGCGCCGCGGGAGAGGGAGGGGGGTTGTTCGTTAGAGCGAGTAGGAGGAAGGGAGGGACGCAGCAATTTTATTCTTCCGTGAAGTTCTCTATGGTTATTGTGGAAAGGATATCCCGATAAACTTGTCACACCATATATTTTTATGTTGTATGTCAAGTTTTGAAAATAAAATCAAAATACTTCAGGATGTTTTTGATTGCAAACTATACAAAACTCAAAGATGAGAAGCATAAGTTTATTTTGGACACATAGACCATTTAAAGTATAACATCGTAAAACTTGGAAATTCGTTGATCACGAAAAAAAAAAAGATTCGCTGTGCCAGCTATTACATTGACTGGTATTTGGACAGGTAACCTGATAAGTTTCTGGAAACACTATATGAGCTATTATAATCGATTATTGACTGTAGCAGTCGATTATATGACTCTGGGAAATAATATGCAGATTGTAGGAACATTGGTTCCCAGAGTCAATGACGACTGCTACAGTCAATAATCGATTACAATAGCTCATTTAGTATTTCCAGAAACTTATCAGGTTATCTGTCCAAATACCAGTCAATGTATTAGCTGGCACAGCGAATCTTTTTTTTCCGTGATGGGATCGCCACGAAAGTGAAAGTTTTTCCAGAAGCAACCGGAAACTTACGTAACAGGAATATGTTTGCTGTGGAGTTCGAGAGAGGGTTGGGGGACGTTGGCGGTCAGAGCGTGAAAGGGTTAATACGGAGGTACAAGCCGCCAGGTGGGCGGGCCACCGGCGCCCGAACTGTGCGTTGACCACAATCTAGCACCGACGCACGACAACCAATAATTTAGGCGGGTCCCCAAAATTGGAGCAGGCACTTTGAGTGCTGATCCAGAAGCACCCTTTCAGGCGGGGCGTGGTGGGGCGTGGCGTGGGCAAGGGGTGCCAGGGTGGTGGAAGGGCAAGGCCGAGGGGGAATGGCATTGCGTCAACTGCAACGTCAGCGAATATGCAACAACCTCGCAACATTGGTGCGCATTCAATGATGCACCCGGAACATTTAACGTGTTACAAATGCAGACAATGTTCGAACAATGTACACGAGTCACCGGCGGTGTACGTACACGTGGACCGGGCCAGGATCTCGGTGTCCACCAGGACCGACGAGGCGCACGTAAGTGCAATCACAAGGCCCCGCCAGAAGGCGTCCACCGACCGAACATCCGGCCTCTCGCCCTCCCGTTCCCCCGCCTCCCTGGCCTCTCTGGACTCCAGGCAACGTGATACTCGGAGACAACCTTTCAAAATCAGCCCGGCATCTCGGAGGCGGCCGCAGCGCGACCTGTGTGTGGGGGGTGGGGTGG